AAGGGATGGGGACCCGTTTATCGCGGTCCTCAATGTCGGGACACGGACGGCGGTTGTTTCGCAGGGTACCGTGTTCGCACATGCAGTTCCGGTACCTGCGGAAGCGCCGATCATTGGCCAGGTGGCCACCGATTCTCAAACGCGATTAGCCTCAGACACTGACGAGGGTTGGTTGGAGGCGTTGTGTGCTGAGTCACCTGACCTGTCCGACGCACAACGTGCTAAATTACGCGCCTTATTGCGAGAATTTTCCGACGTCTTCAGTAAACATAAATACGATATCGGATGTACCAAATTGCTACGCCACCATATTGACACCGGTGACAACGCTCCTATCCGCCAAAATCCTTTTCGGTTAAGTCCCGCCGAAAAGGATCATGTTAAATCAGCTGTAGATGACATGTTGAAATCTGACATCATTTCTCCCTCGATCAGCCCTGGGGGTGCACCCATAGTGTTGGTTAAAAAGCACGACGGGTCCCTAAGGTTCTGTGTCGATTTCCGGCGATTAAATAAGATCTCGGTGGCCGATGCTTATCCGCTTCCTCGAATGGACGAATCGCTGGATGCCCTCGCGGGATCGCGATTCTTCTCCACTTTGGATCTGCTCTCAGGATTTTGGCAACTTCCCTTGGACGACGAATCTAAGCCCAAAACAGCTTTCCGAACGCCGCACGGCCTCTTCAATTCAATCGCTTACCCATGGGATTACACTCTGCTCCCGCGACGTTCTAGCGCCTGATGGAATTGGTTCTCGCTGGCTTGCAATGGGAGGTGTGTTTGATTTACCTGGATGACGTTATCGTATTCAGTAAGACGTTCGAGGAACATCTTAATAGGCTTCGGGCCGTCTTTCTCAAGATGCGCGCTGCTAATTTGAAATTCAAGCCACAAAAGTGCCATTTGCTGCGCGAATCTGTTAAATATTTGGGTCACATCGTCGGCCGGTCAGGCATCTCAACCGATCCTGCCAAAACGCGTTGTGTCAGCTCCTGGCCTACTCCCACCTCGGTGGGGGAGGTTAGAAGCTTCATCGGATTTGCTTCATATTACCGCCGGTTTGTCGCGGACTTTGCTTCCATCGCTAAGCCACTACATGCCTTAACGTCAAAAGGGGTCAAATTTCATTGGGGGCCGGAGGAGGATGCCGCTTTTATCTCTCTTCGGGATGCCCTGGTGGGGGCCCCGCCGTTAAGCTACCCCGATTTTTCCATGCCCTTCGTGCTCGACACGGACGCAAGCAATACCGGGATTGGAGGCGTGCTGTCACAAATTGTGGGTGGCGTGGAGCGCGTTGTGGCTTATGGTAGTAGAGTATTGTCTCCGGCCGAGCAGCGGTACTGCGTCACCCGCCGCGAACTGTTGGCTATCGTGTTCTTTATCCAACAGGACCGACCATATCTGTACGGCCGGCATTTCACCGTCCGTACAGATCATGCGGCGTTGCAGTATGCCCTACGAATTAACCAGCCATCGGGACAGTTGTCCCGATGGCTGGAGATCATGCAGGATTTCGATTTCGAGACAACTTACCGAAAGGGGATTCGCCACACCAATGCCGATGCCCTATCACGCCTGCCGATCGCTCCGAATTGCACTTGTTTCTTGGGTTCGGGCCGTTGCAAATCGGCAAGTGACGGCCGGGATCGGGTTCTTGCGGCCGCAGTTGACACCCCTTCGAACGCTGGTCCTATTTCGGGGGGAGGGAAAGATTCCCTACTAGGCTTGTCAAGTGCTGAGTGGGGTCGCCTCCAAATGGAGGATGCGACCCTCCTGGCGCTATGACGTCGCGCGGAAGGATCAGGTCAAGGGAAGTCGGGCGTTGACTCATGGGGGTGGTGCCAGGGCCTACTCATGCATTGGGATGGGACGATCCGCCGTCACAGGCTGGTGGTGCCTTCCACGTTGAGGGGTAGGGCTGTATGGGCTGCTCATGAACGGCTCCTGCACCTGGGTACCCTCAAAACACTTGCCATGCTCCAGCTTAATTACTTTTGGCCGGGCATGGCAAGAGACGTGGACGATCTGCTGCAGTCCTGTACCCAGTGTGCACAACGGAAGCCGCCAGCAAAGGGAGCCAGTCCACCGCTCCAGTCTATTTCGGTCACCCGGGTTAATGAGCTGGTCGCCCTTGATATTTTGGGACCGTTTCCTTCCACGCCGAGGGGTAATAAGTACCTGCTGGTTGGCGTGGAATATTTCACGCGATGGCCTATGGCTTGGCCCCTCGCCAACCAGTCCGCAGCAGCCGTTGCGGAGGCTTTTGTTCAGGGCTACGTCCTCGACAAGGGCGCTCCGGAACGGTTGTTGACCGATCAGGGAAAGAATTTCACTAGTACCCTTTTACACGAGGTATGTGGCCTTCTGGGAACAAAGAAAATTCGTACCTCACCTTACCATCCACAAACGGATGGGATGGTGGAACGCCTGCATAGGACTCTTACGTCCATGCTATCCCACCAGGTATCTGAGTCCCAAACCGATTGGGATCTACAGATCGGGGGAGTCCTGGCAACATACAGGATGGCTCCTCACGCGGCGACTGGATTCTCGCCATTTTTTTTTATGTATGGCCGCGAGGTTGACCCGCCTGTCGCGACTCAGCTGACGATTGCCGCGCCTCATGCTAAGTCCAAACTCGCGGACCATGTTAAATTTAACATCCTTCGGTTGGCCGAGGCACGGCAGGCGGCCATGCAAAACTCTGACTCTCGCCAGAAACAAAACGAGAGATTGCGATCGCGCCGGACACACACGCACGAATGGCACCCGGGCGACCGAGCATGGTTGCACTGCCACCAGGTGCCATTGACCACCTCGGCTAAGTTGTTGCGACCATGGAGGGGCCCCGTAGAAATTGTGCAGGTTATGCGGCCTCAATGTGTGCGCATTAAGTGGGGGAAGCATCGGTGGTTTGTGCACCCTTCACGGTTAAAGCCATTTTTTGCTCCGCACGCTTCCTCTCACGAAAATGGCCGAACATGTGGGGAGTCCACTGACTCCGGGAGGGCGGGGTCACCGCCAGCCTCTGATCCGCTAATGACTGTCCCGTCTTCAGGAGCCCCAGGACTGAAGCCCTCTTGGCTGCCAGCCTCCCCCGTGGGGGTCGGCGCTGGCACGTCCGAGAAACCGGACGACCAGGCACCTGCAGATGCGACACCTACCGCCGACTCTACCAAGCCGGCCCCTTGTGACGTGCCCGCTGCACGGACACGCGCCAAAACGCGCCGGTTGTTATGAATAGCTTTCCGCGCGTGTTCCGTTGCTGCGGAACCCGCTCATTATATATTTTTTTTGTTTGTGTGTGTGTGTGTATGGATGCTTCTTGTGCGTGGGGATGGCGAACCGCGTTCTGTATATGTGTTGCATTTTTGGGGAGGGGGTTTTTATAGGGGACCATCGGTTGTTGTTACACTTGTTATTGTTACTGTTACGAGGCACACGTGTGTTGACTGTGTTAATCTTTATTCTTGGGGGTTGAGGGATTGTTGCAGCCGGGACGGCTGCGAGCTGTACAGGGGGGGGGGGTGATGTAGGGATTATTACGGGAGAAACGGCGGACAACAAACACAGGGGTGTTGGCACTCACATACACGGGTGGTCACACCGACGTCCGCATCCGTTATTGCCCACGCCCCCAGCCCTCGGAGGTGATCCCTATAAAAGGTGGAGACCCAAAGAGCTCGAAGCAGTTCGACACGAAGCTGACCAGTGAAGATCCAAGACTCGGAGATTAGGCCCTGGGTCTCCCCGGTCTCGCCGTCCTTATAAGGGCCGAGCCGGGTAAGCCAGCGGCGCGGCCCAAAAGCTTCCAGACCGCTGCCCTTATCAGGGCAAGGCTGGTTAGCTGGTGCCGAGATCTGTGCTTGCCAGGGCCAGATCAGTCAGCCTCCCGTAGCCCAGTAGAGGAGGACTGGGGAACAGGACAGGGGGCTTAGTACTAGGGTGGGTTTCCCATAGTATGGGTGAAGGGGCCGATACCCCTTCAACTATTGTGCCTGTCCCTGGGTTAATAAACAGAGTGTGCATCAACTTCGACATCGTCTCCTCGAACTTACTACACAGTGCTCGCCGAGCTGAATTTGCTTACGGTTGCTGAACGAATAGATTATAAGGTCGCAGTCATTAGACACAAAGTGCTTGCCAGAAAAGAACCACAATATCTTGCTGATCTCGTCAAGGAGAATAAACCATCACAAACTCTGGTCATCCTCAAAGCGGCTTTTGGATAGCCATTGAACAAAGACGGTCACTGCATCGCGTGCTTTCAGATGTGCTTATGCGGCCGTCTGGAACGGTCTTCCTTCGATATTCGGAAGCTACTGGATCTATGCATGTTTATATCTAGATTGAAAACTACATTCTTGAACAACTTTTTGTGCTAAATGTGTTGTCTTTTCCGCGCAACTCCGATTAGCACGGTTGGCTATGTACAGTGTGAAATAAGTTCAAAATAAATGTATACATATGGATTGTGGGTGTTATTTTACAAAACTGTACCATGCTGGTTAGTGGGGGTTGCTTAAGAGGGGTTGCATAGATTCACAGGACAACAACGAATCTTGCTACATTGTCCCCTGTTGACCATCACAGCATGTTAAAAATCATATCTATACTTTGATCCATCAGGCTTCATCGTGCATATTTACTTCATTAAGCAGATCTTTACAGCAAAGCAAATTTAGTGCGGCACTGACCAGTCGTAACGATGTTTGTGGATAGCTCTTGCCTGCAACATCTGGCTGTCTGCCATTTGTTTAATTGGCCACACTGCTCATTTGACTCTGCAAATATAAGCTATCCCCAAGTTTGCTGCTTAAATGCATGTTACTAGACAACATTGCTCCCAAGCGTCAATTGGTTGATGCGCTGATATAAAAGCATAGGCACTGGGGTCGATGTGACATTATTTTAGATGGTGATGTGTAATAGTCTTGGCATTTAATTGTATATGTCAATAAATATGCTGCTGAATGTTTGTGTTTTCTGCCATTTGCTAGCTGCAGATAAAAACATTACAATTCCTTTTGTAATTGCTGCTGGAATTGTGACCATTCTTCTGGTGGCGTTGGTGGCCTTATTGATTTATCGGAAGAAGAAATGCTTATACCCCATTGGTAAGAAACACTTGAGCATTTTACGTAAATTTCATTGTTTAGTAATGAGACCAATGCTTCCATGAGTGGTCCAGCTGTGATTCATTAGATAAAACAATCAGGGCTATAGATTAATTGGAAGATTTCCCCGTCTACATCACACAAACTTGAAGGGAATTGTGCAGTGTCCAATTTGAGGCTACACAGTAATGTAGCTTATAAAAAACGGTATTGGGAAACAATTGAGTGATGCAGGCTCAACATCTCTGTACAAGCTTGTCCTAAAATATGAATGAGATGCAGCTGCATATAGACACTATGTATATACAGTCTGTTCTATAACGTGTGTTTTCATAACACGAATTGGCTATAACGCGATTAATGTATTAGGGAACACATTTTTGTTATAACACGGAAACTAATTGGATATAACGCGATTGAGTGAACAGAACTACGTTGCGTGATTAGGAATAAAAGGTTATACAGCTGCCTCGATATAGCAGCAAGGCTGCTGCTGGATGTTTCGAGATGCCACCCATTCGCCTCAGTCTTTATTCAGCCTGCATACGCATTTTACGTGTTATCATGGACTGTGTTTCACCCTATATTAATTATTGTGTAGTGTTCTTGTAGGGAGACGGAGTCGTCGTAGAGGCAACACGGGTTTATTTATAATATAACAGGGTACACGTAAACCCTAACACAAAGGGGTAATGGCCCCTTCCACCCACAACCTGGGGAGGTACAGCCTCCGGGCTATTGTACCTAGTCACTCTCTTCTCTAGCCCTCCGGCTGGCTAGACCTAGGGGAGGCTGACCCACCTCTGGTCCAGTGGGTCCCTGACCACTGGCCCGTCCGGACCTGGCCCTTAGAAGAACATCAGGCCGAGGGAACCTCAGGGTCCAAACCTCTCGACCACTGGCACCGCACTGAGCCCCGGCCCTTAAAAGGACGTCGGTGGCTTGGGGTCCAGGGTCTTCTCTCCAGGCGGCTTCTGGCTTCGACTTGAGGCGAACTGCTCGGCGCTTTCAAGGACCCGCTTTATATACTGTTTCTCCCTGAGGGGCGGGGGCTCTGTGGGATCGTAGCATCCCCCAGCTCCCTCCCCTCAGAGGGGTTATAACCAGAAGTCGCAATCGGGTACCCGATACCCGTACACTACCCGATACCCGGCTACCTGTACCCGGCCGGGTACGGATACGGGTACCCGTTTGCGACCCTGGTGCGGCCGGGTACGGGTACGGGTAGGCCGTGAGTCACTGGTGAGTAACCGTTTGTCACTCATTTCGGGTAGGGTACCCGTACCCGGCTGGGTACGGGTACCCATGTGCGACCCTGGTGCGGCCGGGTACGGGTAAGGAATCAAAACCCGTTTGCGACCTCTGGTTCTAACCACCGTTGGCCCAACCGGTCCGGACCGGTTTCTACCGCTCCCCACCGAGGGGCGGGGGGTTCTGTGGGATCGTAGACACTGCCCACAGCCCCCTCCCCCCGGCGGGTCCCGCCCAGGAGTACACAACCATCCCATACCGTTAAGCACCCTGGTTCTGGCGTGCGTGTGTGTCAACATGACCACCACAATTGTAACGCTAATTTTCCATCACTCGGTATTCTTCAGGAATGGAACTACCATGTAAAGATAACTTATGTCATCAAAAGGCCACCAGATATCCATCCAATATCAGAAAAGAAGCACAATCATCTCACAATTGTACACGCATTATGACCAACCTGAAACTACCAATTTAAGATAACTTTCAGAACCTGCCAAAGTCAAGATTAAAGTCCCATTTTTGAATTGCAAGCTATCAAAGTTCATTTGATGAATCTTGAGGCACAGTGAAGAACAACCTGGGAGAATGCTAAAATACCTAACAGCACTTAATCACTGACTCCACAGAAGAACCTCTCAGTTAAAATGTCCCATAAAGAATGGTTGGTGTTGAACTGCACAGAATATCATAAGGCAGATATGGCTATCTCCAATACTCATGAAAATGTTAGAAAATTTTCGAAACTTCAACTACATCGTGTGGCACTGCCTGCGTCAGTCATTTGTTGGCAGCATTTAAGATATTCATCCGGTGCTAAAACCATTCAATGGCTCATAAACTTCAAAACGAATGTAAATATGTTGCTGATCAGCTGCACATTATCCAAAGTAAAAACATATATATATTCTTCAAGATAATGCACATTGATATTGTCAAAACATCTGCCGCACATTTAGGGCAATAATTCCATATTAATGAACCAGCTGAAATACATCACCTTGGTGATTTCCATTTTGCTAATAATGAAGATAGCTGTGCATTCTCCCAAAACATCTTGTATTAATGAGTAATTGTCAAGATGCCACTCAGCCCCTTTATGCTAACAAAAATTTTCATCATACAGAACATATTCTTGGCCCGAACTGAAGCATATTTAAAATTTAATTGCAGCACAATTATACATTTTCAGTAGACCGTCAATAACACTATCAGATGTACACTTCATTGGAACCTCATTTGCCAGTAAAAAATACGATAATTGGATTTTTTACCCTTCTATCTGGCAACAAAACTGACACCTTTTTTACAAAGAGTCATTTTTGTATCATCTGGTCCAACCCATGTGAGACTAGGCTCTATGGAAAGCTGTCTCGGATGTGGACCAATCAACTTCAAGGACAGTGCATATATTATCAGAGTTATGTTTTTTGTTTGCATTATGGCTACAGGTATTGTGGTCTATGCAAACATGACTCCTTGTAAAAAAGGTGTCAGTTTTGTTGCCAGATAGAAGAGTACAAAACAATTATCAGATGTACACATCGTATAATCTCACACCTTTACCGCCACTGTGATTCTTTGCCTTGCAATTAATTCACTTGATTATGGTATACTACTAATGAACAGAACAGGTTTATTTTAAGGCTCGCTCGCACCTTAGCATAGCCGTTATAGCTAGCAGTGCTTTTAGTAGATGTTACCAAGTGGATGTGTCACGTCTTCTTGTACATTACCAGAGTTGACTGGCCAGATGAGAGAGATGTTGCCTCTTATAAATAAGGAGAGGCCCAAGGATATATTTGAGGTAAGTCACGCAGCATCTAACCCTTCCATGTCCTGCCAGGTGTGACACCAGAGTATGGGACTTGTTCCGGGACCTGGCTGGCACGGTATTTCAGCACAGGGACTCGTATTTGTGTGCAGCCTACCACTGTTTAATCGTGATGTATAGACTCTCCCGACATTTAAGCTATAAATTCAAATGTATATCCAATAGCACAATATAAATGACTATAATATATTTTCCAGTTAGTCTTAAAAATGTAGATTTCTCCATAAAATCCAAAAGTAATGTTCACAAGATATTTACAATAAGTCTCCAAGCTCCCGTGTCACACATTTAATTACTAATATAGCTGATATGATAGGTCAATTAAGTTGATTTAATAAACTATAATGTGCAATTAATTTTTTTGCCAAGTATTGAGGCCCTTAAAGGATGCCAGCTGCCCCCACACATCGTGCTGACTGAATACAGGAAATCCCATATTAGCCACCCCCAGCATGACACTGCTGATGCAAATTGTCACTAAGAGATGAGACTTTTTAAAAATGTTTGTGTTATCGATCTGATAACCAGTAGAGTGATCAATTTTAATTATATTATTGGGTATCCCAGTTCTAATCACAACACTGGCATGTATGACATGCTGAGGATTTGCTCTTGGCATAGGAGAGCTGAAAGTCTGTCAAAGCAAGAGGGGTGAAATTGTTAAATCAGACCTTTGGAAGTAAGTTGGCGCCTTTATAAAAATTGTGGGATATGGTAGAATTACTGTCCAATGCCTTGAGTTGTCCTCAACTATTGGAGAAAATTAAATGTTACTATTGCATGGCCATTTATCCCTAAAGATAACTTTTAATTCTGAACACATAGCACCCAATGTGGTGCTCCCTTTTAACAACTCTGGAGGAATGATGTTAAACAAAATTAAAACCAACTATGCGCCAAAAGTTAAATTGAAAGGTAACTATTGGTTGCCTCTTTTCCGTGTGCATAGAATCAACGCAAGCTCATCGAGAAGAGAATGAAGTCCAGTGATGCTGAATTTTGGAAGTTGTTACATGGGTTTCTGCCAGACGTTTACAAGTTAGTCTCTGAAAATAGCTACTTTATCTTGTACGAGATGCGTAAAAAATACAATATGAATATATCCGATTATTGGGAGGCTTACGAAGCTACTGACAGCTCCGAACGTGCAGTTTGTATTCTCAATCACTTTATTAATGAAGGTGAGATTTGCCAAGGGCTTCTAGATGTCATCCATGCAGGACAGGACAAGAAAACACAGCTGCAGACCCTGCTCGACTTTGCCGGTATGTGGGCTATGAGGGGCCACAGTCTCTTATTGTGGGATGTTGCTTACTTTATTATGTATATGTTTCACTTGGGTGTCAGGCCTTCGGTACTTATGTGAATACAAAGACCGTAGTCTGTAAATATATTTTTGGATGACGTGCTAGTTCAGTTAAAATATGGTCTAATTTAAACATTTCATTTGGCTAATCAAAAATATATTTTCATATTTGAGCTCACAAAGGTGTGTTTTGTGCTACTAGACATTGTTTTCCATATGAAAGTGGTGAAATAAGTATGTAAATGCAGACCAACATACCTGACTTTTTTACTCGTAGTTCCAAACATTTTTTTAATGAAAATACCAGAATATTAAAATATGAAACGCAATACATTATCACCATGTATCATTGGTTTTATTACAGAAAAATGCTCTCCAGTTCTTGATCCAGACACGGCACATAAAGAGCTTCTTATCTCAGCTGATCACAAGACGGCAACATGGATCAAAGACGCCCCAGATAAACCCGAACACCCAGACCGGTTCGATTACTGGATGCATGTCCTGTCCTCGAATAGCTTCTCGGAAGGATGCCACTGCTGGGTGGTGAATGTGAGGGAAGTGACGAATTTTCGTATTGGCGTCGCTTACGGGAAGATTGCACGGAAAGGAGAAAGCAATGCATGCCTGATAGGATACAACAGCATGTCCTGGTGTTTACGAAAATACAACAACAAATTTAGGGCGTGGCATGACAAGGAAAGCATCGAGCTGGAAGTGAATGAAAATCCTCGCAGAATCGGTCTTGGCCTGGACTATGATGCAGGGCTTCTGTTGTTTTACAACGCTGACAGCAACAAACATCTACACACATTTTATGCTCACTTTGCTCAGCCTCTCCATGCTGCCTTTTACGTGTGGGGAGCAGCCCTCACCATTGAGCCTGTTAACGATTACAATTACTGTGAATGAAGTTTGAATCATCCGTGAGAGTAAAATAATTTAATACAAAAATTCCCATGAAGCTCAGAATTGAGTACAATACAAATTATAGCTTTCACTTTTATTTATTCTAATACAGTATAGAAAAGACGCTGGTGAATGAAAGTTGATTTTAATGGGATGAGAAAATAACTTTCAAATAAAATACAGTAAAACCTTGGATTGCGAGTAACTTGGTCTGCGAGTGTTTTGCAAGACGAGCAAATTTTAAAATAAATATTAATTTGATAAACGAGCGAGGTCTTGCAATACGAGTAGTATGTATACGCTCTGTCTGCCGAGCATCACGTGATCACAACTGATATACGAGTGCTTTAGATTACAAGCACGTTTCCGGAACGAATTATGCTCGCTAAGAGCGAGCACAAACCAAGGCCCGAGATTGCCACTGCGTGGAATTGCTGAGAGTGCTGTTGTGAGCGGGAACTAAGACCATAGCTGATGCTGCGCGCTGCGCTGAATCCTGGGAGCACAGCACTACCGTTGGTCCGGGGGGAATCCCTGAGGCTACACGTGACCTCGAGAGTGGATTTAGGGACCCTGGGCTTCTGATGCGTCGCCGCATCACCCAGGAGTGGAGCGTGCGTAAGGGTTGGTGCGAACGGTGGGTGCGGTGGTCTGTAATCGCTCTACTGTCGCGGTGTTCTATACCTGTTTTTTTTGCCGTGAGGTTTTGTACTTGTGTTGGTGTCAAGGGGTTCTGTACCTATTTTGTCGATGCATGGGGTCGCTTTTGTTAAGCTGGTGAACTATGGGGCTATGTAAATGCTTGCTACTACCAACCATGCTACGCCACTGGGCTAGACCTTGGATTGCCACGATATACTTGTCACGATAAAATATACATTTTTACGATGTAAAAATTAATGTAATATCAGTTTCCCATAGCTTTGAAACTATAATGCACATGTTTATTGACAGTGCGTGTGTGGAGACAGTGTGCGTGCGGGGACAGTGCGTGGCCCAGCAGTCACGGGAAGTAATTACAGGGGTGGATATGAAGAGGGCGAGTTCAGAAGGAAACCATATGGGAAGTTCTAGAGAGTTCGAGAAAGGGGGCGTGGCGGGATAAGGGCCATGCCTGGGATAAAAAGAGGCGAGGTTAGGGGTTGCCCTGGGATCGGGGTCATCTGTCTTCACGCCGTTAGACTGATCGCCTTCATCTAAGTTGTTTTGTGTTGTTGTTGGTTGTTTGACTTGCATCCCACTGGGATTTTTGCACACAGCGTTGGCGTACGGTGTTTTTTCTGCAATATTTTGCTGTCTTTTCTTGGATTTTCTGTTTGCACATAGTCACTTTAAGATGTTTTTGTTCATATTTTTGTTTGTTGCGGTTGCACCCGATTCAAGAGCCGAATGGCTCACAGAGCTATACCTAATAAATGAACTTGAACTTGTCTTTGCATCGTCACTGTCTTCACGTCGTTGCCACTTGCGTGCCATTCCTGGCCGAAGTTATCTGTGTGAAGCGCCCTAATTAAGAAATAAAGCAACCCTCTATACAGTTTGTGTTGTCCGAGAGTTATTACATATGTAGGACTCGTACTCGGCTGTCTTTCTGTTCTCTTTATTTTCCGCTCAATGGTCCACCTCCGCCGCGCCACCTCTCCGCGTCTCGGCGCGGCCTCACTCTGCTCCGCGTCTCTCTCTGCAGCACCACCGCTCCGCGTCTCTCCGTGCCCTCACTCCGCTCCGCGTCGCTCCGCGTCTGTCTCTCTCGCCACGCCGCGTCTCCTCCGCGTCTCTCTCTCTCTAGGTCTGTCGACTCCCCTGCTATTCTACACTGCATCCTTCAGATGCATGGCTACCCCTGTTCGCACACTGCGTTCTTGCTATCACTGCCTCTCTATATTCTACTCAGTTTGTCGCCGCTAACCCACTCTATCTCTGCTCTACTACCATCACCGCCTGCTCTGCGGTTCCCTGGGCACCGTCGCTGCAGCTCCATCCAAGACGCCCACCAAGATAAGAAAACCCTCTCTCCGTCGCGCTGTGGCTTATATCCCCACACCAATTAATCCCCATTAATTATCTCAACCCCCCGCTTATTACTCGCCCCCCTGACCCCCGGTCTCACATGACCTTGTTATTGCCGCCAGAGCGACGCCAACTAATAACCAATTACCCTCTTAGCCAATTGCTGGCCTGTGTCCCCCTGGCTACCCCGAACACCTGTCTCAACACTTAACGACCCTCTCACCTAATGCCACAACAACAACCGTGTCCTCACATACCCCCCACTGTACTCTGCTCGCTCGCATAGCAACAGTGGAAGAGAATGCATGGCGCACTATAACTCAAGTCCTACACATATGTTGAACTTCTTTCGCAACATACATAGACAATCACACTAATTGGAGGTGCGATAGAATGACGATAAATGAAATACAAAATTTTCTATTTGGAAATTAGTTTTCAATACAGATTTAAGTGCATAGCTCCAGTGGCTTTCTATATATACCAGTGCGAATCAATATTACTGAAAAGGGCTAATCAATTGCAGCTAAACAACAAAATGCAATCTTTGCAACCTATTATGTTTATAACACACCAAAAATGACTTAATAATTGTAACACCTATGATAAGTGTTGCATAATCGCCAATTCCTCCAGAAAACATTGAGCATGTAAGTCATTTATAGATAAAAGCTATTTAGACCTTTTATCTTGTACTGCATTTGCCCCGTGCCCCCCGGTAATACATCTCAATGTTCATCCTACAAGGGACAAACACAAAAAAATAAACACATCTTTTCGTGACTTAAAGCTTTCATGACTGCAGGAATTCATATTCTTTGGGTCTTTCGGTAAAGCCACGTAGATAGAAAAATAATAAAATATCACGACGCTTCGATCGCAACACAAGAAATTTCACCTGATGGCGATTGCTTGTTGCAATCGAAACGTCGTGATATTTTCTTATTTTTCTATCCACGTGGCTTTACCGAAAGACCCAAAGAATACGTATTTTTTTGTTACCCGTGTAGTGAGAGTGCCATCGCCTGGATTATTAATGGGGCATGTATTTCATTCTACAGCCATATTTAGCCATAGTGAGGTTTATATCTGGGTGAAAGTTTGAGAGGCGGTTTTACTAGGGAGGCTTTGGGAACATTTGGGAAGGTTCCAGAAGGGGCGTGGCCAGAGGCGGGGCTTAGACCCGGGTAGGGGGATATAAGGGGACACGGAGCAATGCGATGGAGTCGGTGTCGAAGACTGAAGAGGAGGCCCTGCCGCTGCTGCCCCGCTATCTCCATCAACCACGTGGCGGCTCGTCCTCCAGCCGCTCCTTAGCGCACCATCAGCCAGCAGTACTCTGGAGAGCGGGTGAATGCCACGCGGCGCGGGGCAGCGTAGCTACACGAAGAGTGGATGCCGCAAGGAGAAGAGACGGAGACGAGTGGCTGTACTGAGCTTTTATTAAATAAGCAACTTAGATTTTTTACCGTGTCGGAGACGACTCATTTCACATGTATTGAAATGACTGTACGCCCTATGGACCTGAACTAAAGTTCCCTCTACAAGAACACGGGGTAAACCGTATGGGTTGACGAGTGTGTTAATGTCACCATCGCTTGCAGGCTGCACCCAAGGCTCACCGCTCCTCCTCGGCTGGGATGCAAATCTGGCCACGCCCCTAACCCCGCCCATTTTATCGACTCTCGGGGGGAGGGGCGGGCTCGTAATCGGCAGTCAAAGCAATTGAGAAGACAGCGGGTGGTGGGGGGTGCATCAGCCGATTCGAATCTGCGGAAATCCATTCATCAACCCTCAATGCATTTGTCAATAACACTCATAAAAGAAAAAAACAACACACTTGTCAGTAATAGTAAAAAAAAATCTGCATATTGCCTTTAGACAAGATGAGAATGAAACCAATGGACACAGTTTTTCAGAGTAAATGTGCACACTTCTAAATTAGCCACGAGGGGCTTGTGGGTTGAGAACCACTGGTAACAAAAAAACTACCTGGTCATTTGAATTAATCACTTTGAACCGAATCTCTAATGCTTGGTCTTCGTTCATACGAAAGAAGACCACTTATAAAGATGAGAAACCACATAGACTCCCTCCCTCTAACTCCTTTCCCCACTCCCCCGTTCTAACTCCGGAGCTAGGTGATTTAACTTTTTAAAACCAAAATTTTCACCAAAATGTGCAAAAGCTATGCTTGTTCGCACTGTGAACGTGTAAAGTACAGCCCTTATATCAATCTCTGGTTTGGCCATGCAGCCGGGTGCCACAATGACAGCAGCAGCAGGAACGGCCCTCCAATGCCGATGGGCCTGCACCACCATCATTATCACCACCCCTACAATTACCTGCATGTGACAAAAACAAAACTACAAAAATGTTTTACCAGGTAAGGCCCACTGTGCTATATAGCTCTTTTTCATAAGCAACATGGCCACAAATGATAGCTCAAGGAAGCGGCTTATCACGTGGAAATGTATAACAGCCAAATTATCTAAAAGCATGTTTATAATTGTAGAGGGAAAATCCGGATGACTCAGGAGAAAAAAATCCACACGACCACGGGGAGAACATCCAAACTTCAAATATACAGGAGTCAAGGTCAGGATAGAACCCTCGACCTGTATACCAGGCAAAGCAGTTAACATCTAGCCACCGTGGCATCTCACTTCCAGCAGTACATCTCACGCCTTCTCACTATATACACTTTCAGCACGGTGGGCGTCCAGCGGACAAGAACCCTTTCGTCGACTTCATGTGGATGGCGAACGAGGAGGATTACAACGAACAGGTGGAGCGGGAGCTGTACGAGGAGGAGTTCATGGAGCGTAACTGCCAGAAGATGCTGGATGAGGAGAGTGAATGGCTCATCCCGTCGCGTGACCTTCGATGCCAGGCAGCGAATGAGGCAGCGGCGTAGCCCAATGGTTTGAGCCTGGGCGATAACCTGGCCATCTCTGCTGTCCCTATGCAACCGTTGAGCATTGGGAGTGGGTGGTGGTGGGGCAGTGCCCTGTGCATATGTAATATCGTAAATTACGGCGGGAGACCACTTGACGGGTAGCACACTTTATTAACACTTGTCTTTGCCACAATAACACGTGTGGTCACTACAGCTCACGCTACACATTCCACCCGACACGTGTGGTCACTACAGCTCACGCTACACGTTCCACCCGGCTACACACACACGGGCTCTCCAGCCCCATAGCTTCCAGGGGAACCTACAGACCCACCCCAGCTTGGGTATGGGTCACGACCACTGGGTCCCGTGGCCCGGCCCTCACACGAACGTCCGGCCCCGGGTCCCAAGGTCCCGCCTCTGAGCCACACAGTGTCCCGGCCCTTACAAGGACAGCGGGACTAGGGGTCTCAGGGCCCTATCTCTTCCTCCTCCGTCTTCCGTCTTCACTGGTCACTAACTCCCCGAGCGCCCGCGCGCATCGCCTTTTATAGTCCTCCGCTCCCGGGGAGACGGAACCTATGCGGACGTCGATGTGAGCACCACCCTAGTTGACCAATCACCACGCGCTGCAACACGATCCCTTTTCCCAGCTCGTGTCAGCGCACACAACCAATCACCACGCGCTGCCACACGATCCATCACTGTCAGCACGCGTCACCACTACACAGCCAATCACCACGCGCTGCCCCACGATCCCTACTGCCAGCGCGTTTCACCCCTACACATACTCGCTCAACGACATTGCCCTGCTGCTTTCAGCTGTTGATCTCTACCACAAACAGCCACCTTTACCGCAAAGCAGAAATGCAGGTTTGTGGAAATGTGCAAGCCGATGTTTATGTTTACAAGGTCAATTGAGCAGAAAGAGGCAGTCATTGGTAGGGAAACGATTGGACGCTATTAAAGTGCCCTTGTACCGTTCTCGTTCTGCTGTAATGTGTACTGATGCTTACTTTTTTGAGGGCCATATTGGCACATAACATAAAAATCGATCGACTGCATTGCTTGGCGAGTTCAGAATAGATACGTTGATATCAGTAGCAAAAATGGGATGCAATTGGGGTAAAAATAAATAAAGGTATATTGCTTTGAAGCTAAAGAGAACAAGATTAGGGGCTGTATAAGGTATAGGGTGGTTTATAGCAATACAGTATATAATTTAATGTTGGGTTTGTCTATGGCAGTATATAGTACGGTGTCGACTCGTGTGATGTAAGAGAATAAAGTTTAGATGGAAGCATATTATATAATTTTTACGACGTAGAACTGTAATGTATTACTTACTGATAGTAACTCAGCTTATTGTAGAATATAGTAAGTATACTGATGATACTATGTAGTTTATACTTTAGTTGTTTACGTGTTGGTTTTAGTTACTGCAGCTACATACTATTAACACTCCTTCCCTTTATTAATGCTACTCCTATCCCCTCCCTTTGATGCTGAATTAGTGCTATT